TTGAATATCACACTAAGCAGAAGTCTCTAATCTGTGTGAAAATGATGCCATCTCTGTAAGCAGAATAGCTTTTTATCCTTGATCTGGGAAAGGACAGACAGCAAAAATGTGTCATAACTGCAAGGGGTTCTGGGTCAAGAATGGTCATATCTGAAAAAGCTATTGCTAAGAGATTGTTACAAAGTTGTTTCTTGTAAATTTAAAAAAAAAAAAAATAGTAATAATTGTATTTCTTTTTAAATTTGGACAGAAAGTCTGTCTAAAGTGATGTTCCTGTATTGTATTGAGGCATGTGAGTATACTGCTTAATGATGATGTCAGAAATACTGGCGATATGCAATTAAAAAGTCATTTATTTTCACTGCCTATAACAAATGAAATGCTAACAGTAAAGAATAGATTAGAGATGGATGATACTTTTGCAAGTATCGAAGTTTATCTCCATCGTACTATTCTGTCCAGCTACACAAGGTAACATAATAATCAGAGGTAAGACACCTCAGAATAAGTAGTTTCAAAGAAACTCAGGAAACAATAGCTGAACCATTGGAAGGATGATTTGTTTCCAGGTGCGAGTACAAACCCAGGATAAACACAAGTGGTTGGCCAAAGCTGAAGCATGTAGAAAATAACCTTGCAAAATAAAAAGGCGCTGTAAGTGGCCGGCAGTTGTTTGTGGGGCGATGCGAACACCCAAGAGACTGTCAGAGAAGCCATCTTCAGTCTCGGTGCAGATGGAGAGGGTGTGAGTTGGGTGTCATGGAGGGTAAGGGAAGGTGAGGGCCTCTAACCTTTTTCTTCCCCATTAAATCAAACTAGTTAACAGCATGGGTTGTTTTGTTGTGGTTTTTTTTTAAGAAGCTGTTTTGAATCATTTTAGTTGGGCTGGTTACAGGCCCCCAGTGAAGGGTTTGCAAGTGCCAAGCACAGGTGGGGCCCATATTTTCACCATGACTGGGGCCAGAGATGTCCTGTCCAGGGACTAGTCTGAAAGCTGGACGTTCTTGGGGAAATCAAACAGAAAGGGAAACAGCTCATCCTGCCACCTAACAGTTCACTCGGGGATTGATGAAGGATTCAAGGGACAACCCAGATTGCAGCTATGATGATACAATAGCAAGAGGGGGAAACTGAGCCTAAAATCAGAGGCGTAAGTGCACACAGGGAGGAATGCAAGCAGTGGCCTGCAGCTTGCAAAATGTGATCACAGAGGCAGTAGCAGAGATCACAGATGCAAGTCATCCTTGAGTCTGACAAACAAGGGAGTTCAACAATGCAAAATCTGTATTTTTGAATGCTTCGCTGTTAATAAGTTGAGTTACGATGGTGGTAAACCAGGCAAGGAAAAAGCCTGAAGGTGTTGGCTCTGATTATCATTTGGTACAGTTTCTTGACTGTGGAAGAACTCATTTAAACCAAGTCAGTTCCTGGCTTGTGCAGCTTCAATTCATGATTTCTCATTAGAGGTCCTAGGACTTAAGTTGCCGTTTGTTTTTTCTTTCTGTTTTTTGTTCCCCCCTCCCCTCCTTCCCCCCCCAGCCCTTTCTTTATGTGCTTCCACTCTGGGTCTAAAAAGCTGCTGTCATAGGAATTACTGAAGCTAAAAAAGTAGTGCTTTGTACCATCTGAAAGCTTTGCAGCCTCGAGTCATATGGAGGGTAAAAAGAAATCCATCTTAAAGATCAGCGTTTTTTAAACCACTGAAACCCACATTTGACCTCAGAATTGCGAGGAGAGGGATGTTTATCACGATAACAGGATTTAAAACCTAATTCCTAGCCTCCTAAAAAACCTAAAACCTCCTAGCCTTGTCTAATGTACACAGTATTTCACAAACCGGTACAAGCATGAGTAGGAACGTTTGTGAATTACCAGAAGAGCTGTTAAGCAAAGACTGCTGTTTCGGGCAATGTTATTTATTTATCTGGATAAACATTTCCTTTTCCACCAGAAAAAAGTTGGAAAGGATATAAAGAATATGTATTCGTAAGACTTTGAGGTGTTCTCCAGTGGCTTCGTTGGCCAGGATTACACACAGGGCAATTATATCTAATCTTTGTTGCATTAACAGCTAAGTATTGGCTTCCTTTTTATTTCTTCAGATTTACTTGTGCAACCTTCATGTTGTCCCTGTGGCCAGTCATGTGGAATTTAAGATAACTCTGTTGCCAGTTCTTCTCACACCATTCATTCCTTGAGCTGCTCCATGTATTTGAGCAACATGGCGACCTCATATCCTGTATAACTGTGTCCCTACCGTACTGTCAGAACAAGTATCTCTGTCGTATCCCTTGCACCCACTTCTCAGAGTGGTACCAGTCATCGTCTTCCTATGCTTGCTTCCTTCTGCTCTCAGGGAATACCCTTCCTGAGGTGCTCAGCAAAGCCACAACCCTGTACACCTTTAAAACTTCCCTGAAGATCTACTTCTGTGATGCTTGCAAGAAACTGGCTAAGTAATCTGCTTATCTGTTTCATTTATCTCACAAGTGACTCACTCCTTCCATGGTGCCTGCGAGAAACTTGTTGATTAAATCTACTTCCTCTTGCTCTGTTTTTAACAAACAAAAACATTGCTGGATTGTGCCCTGCATTGACCTTTGCGGAGGTTGGGTGAATTCTAGGGTAACTGGATCATGATCACCTTTCGGATGCCAGTCGTCTTCCTGCCTGTTTGTTGCTTGTATCCTTTGTTGCTTCTCATTAGAAACATCGCTTTGCCCTCCAGCTGCCTGCAAATAAAGAGGCTTGACTCTTCGCTTGGCTCTTCATGAATTCAGCAGAGCACCAAATACTTGTAGGGGTCCACCTGCTTGGAGCTGATCGTAGGCTAGTGCATTAGTTTGGGAGCTACTCCAGGCATGATCAGAGTTTTTTGTCTCTAGCAGGTGTCTCCTACCACAATTTGCAGGAGTATCTAAAACAGCGTTCATAAGGAGCTAATAGCATTTAGTATGACTGTTGACTGTTGTCATCCTACTCTGTGCGTTTTTTCATGTTATGTAATTTTCATGTTTGTCACTCAAAAAATGTAAATGTTCTCTAAGATAAAGGTGTGTGAAGGTTCTGGGCTTGCTAATGCTCTCTAGCAAGCGCAGATAGTGTCATCCACACTTTAAACACAGAATGCGAAGGTATTTTAATTGAACACAATTTTAACTTAATGGTTAAGAGTAACAATTTAAAGATTTTTTTTTTTTCTTCATCAGAGAAGGTGGCAAACGGAATCTTTTTATAATTGTACTGTGTACTGTCATGGAGTAATACATACAGGGATCATTTTTGTTCCTGTGCTGCATAACAGGCAGCATTTATTTGAGGCTTGTTGTGCTTGTCATGTCTTTCTAATGCACAAAAACCAGTGGGTCTCCCTCTTGTGCAGATGGTGGCATGAGTATTTGGTGTCCTCTTCAGCAGGGCATCTCCAGCTGTATGAAGTTAAGCACATGCTGTGTGTGAACAGGATCTGTGGGCTGAAGTGTAAGACATATACCCATTGTTCACTTGTTACTGGCATTTCCCGAGGAAACGCTATGGCCTTGGCTATGTCAACATCCTAATTTGATACCAGTTTTGTGGCATTATCGTCTGGCAAGCTAATGGTCACATAGGTAATTAATATTACTAGAAACAATGGCAGCGTTCCTCTAGTTAGTGAAGACTCCAGTTTGTTTAGTAAGACCCAGAGGTTGAATCCTCATATTCCCTATGAGCCTTGCCTTGGAGCTGGAGGCTGGAGCTGCACTAATGGAGCTAATCCTCTGGTTACTTTCCCTGCCATGTGGGGAAGGCTTACCTGGGGATCAGCGTTAGTAATTTGCTAGATGGAAAACAAAGTCTCTGAACACTCAGAGTTACTGACTAGCTCCCCCAGTTCCAGTCCCTGAGTAGGTGAAAGAGGGCAAAGGAAGGATTAAGAGCCCCCAAGAGAGTACAGGTTTCTCCAGTGAACTAGTTAAGAGCTTTAAAGTAGAACATGCCTTCAACGTGGACTTTTTCTTTTCATCTTCTAGTTCAGCCTATGATACCAAAACAAGACAGAAGGTGGCAGTAAAAAAGCTTTCAAGACCTTTTCAATCACTTATTCATGCGAGGAGGACCTACCGAGAGCTGAGGTTGCTTAAGCACATGAAGCATGAGAACGTAAGTGACGAGTGAGTTCTTTCTCTTTGGATTTTTATGACAAAAGCTTGCAAATAGGCTTAATTTCAGTGAGGTACAACCTTTTTAGAGAAGTATATGCAACTCTGGCTATCCAAGATACCTGAACCTGGTCATCTTATGTGTTATGAAGTCATTGGACTTTAAAGTAGAGGCTTTCAGTAAAAGGCTGCCTTTTTATTGAAAAATGATCTAATTTTGTCTTGAAGATACAGCTAGTGGAATCCAAAACAAGTAGTCCTATTCTTCTCGAACTAAAGTAATAAGAGGGATCTGCTCACTACTGTTGGATGCCCTTGAAACATCGGTCTAGGAAAAAAGTACCTCAAACCTGCTTTTGCTGAATTTGGATTCTGTTGGGAAATTAAGGGCAGATTCCCTCACTGAAATTAATTACAGTGTAATATCTAGATGAAAGATAGTAGAACTTCAGGCCCCAAACAATTCAGTACTTGACTAAGTTTATGTGACACAGTTGATTTCATTGGGAGCATCCACCTGCTTACAAGTAACTCGATGAATTGAAGCCTGAATAAAATATAGTAAATTGAAAACTATCCTGGAGAAAGGATGCTAAAAAAGTTAATCAACAGAAGAAGACGATAACCCATGAAATTGGGCGTAATCTTAAGTATAACAGGTTTACAAGTCACGTGTCAGCTTTTCTGTAGTGAGACATTATCTTTCCTGCCTTTATTTCTGATTGTCTAAAGTCTTGTTATAGTTACTTTTTATAATGAATAGAATTTTCTATTGGTCATGGAGATAGTTGAGGCTATACATGTACAGACCATCTATTGTGCCAGTTGTACTAAGTTGTACTAAGGAGGGCAATATGTCATCTATTTGTAAGTTTCATGCCAAAAACCTAAGCCCTGTCAATACTAATTACATGTTGCTTTCCAGATTTCTAAAAATAAAATGTCGATTCCCTCATCTTTCAGGTTATAGGATTGCTAGATGTTTTTACACCTGCAACATCAATAGAAAATTTTAATGAAGTGTAAGTAAAATTTTAAAATCATTCTGACTGGTTAGTAGTTAAGTGCCACTTTGACACTGGGGCACAATTACACAATTGAGAACATATTTTTTTTTTTTTGGAAAAGAATCAATGTTTCCGCAAAATTTGTCAAAGAAAAAAAAACTTCCAGTGGGAACAGGGAGGGAAGTTAATCAAAACACTCTTATTTCAACCAATCCAATGTTAATCTCCATCATGAGGTATTCTGGGGCCTTGCAGCTACTGTAGTTTCAGTGCCTCAGGCTCCCACTTTGATGTTGGGTGAGACTTCCTATTCATCTCAAAATATGATGCATTCTCTTTTCACTGAACTACTATAGTGTGTCATAAAAGCTTTTAATGTACTGCAAGGATTTTTATTTTTTTGTGATATTAAATCTCATAACCCTGATTCCATTATTAGAGCTCATAAAAAGCCGATTGGAAAGGAATAAACCCTGTGTTAGTAGAAAATGGAAAAGGAACCTACATGGGAGTGTGTAGTTACTCTTTAGATGTGCTGCTTCTAGAAGGATTTACATCCTGCCAATCTAAAATGAGGTGTGTTTCTTTGTTCTCTTTTGTGTTTTATTTTCACAGGTATCTTGTGACAAATTTAATGGGTGCTGACCTGAATAACATTGTGAAGTGCCAGAAGTTAACGGATGACCATATACAGTTTCTCATCTATCAGTTACTTCGAGGTCTTAAGGTACTGGCTGAATGCAAGGGTTTTACAGTCAGCAACCAAAATGTTGTAGTTATGACTGGTCCACTGCAGTGACAGTACTTAAAGATTTTTGTTTACATCTTAAGGAGTGCACAGATAGCAGCAATCATTTCAGAAATTATCTGGTCATTTTTCTAACTGAAAATAAAACCCCAGACCCGCAAACGTTTACATGCACAATACATGTGAATACTCTGCTTGAACATTACCTTTAGTTCAGTGCCTAAGTTCTTGTTGATGGAGAATTGCTCACTATATGGTCTCTCAAGTGCACATGTTCTGTAGTGCACAGTGTGTGTTTTAGACACTACTCCTCTCATGAGAAGGTAGTGAAAATACTTCTGAAGAATGTGAAATTGATAAAGAATGGTAAGACAATTAACTCACATTTCTGATTTGAAAGACATGGACAAATCTGAAAAACTACAACCCCTGGTTTTATAGAGTGTGTCACGTGGGTGAAGAGATAATCAAGTTAGCTGGGTTCTTTGGCAAAACATCTGGAAGTAAAAGCTTATCCTAGCAATGTACGATGTTGCGTACAGTCACCTAGGATTTACTCTGCCTGTAAAGTCATTGTTTCCATTAATCGTATCAGTTAAAAAGTATACAATTAGCTAACACAGGTGATTGGCAATGAAACTGTAGCAAAATTTTCTTCCAAAAGAATTAAAATATGTGTCACTTTGCTGACCTTAAACGTAGAAGTATCTGTAAACAAGATAAGATGCAGAAAATGCGTCCTATTACTAGCTGATAAGCGTTTTCTCAGACCAGTGTTGATTTTCCCAGGTATAAGCAAAAAGAAAAGAGACGGGTCAGCTGCTTTAGTAGCTAACTTAACAGTAATTGATATTTTAGACATGGAAAATAACTGTATGTTTGAAAGCAAGCCATGGTAAATACTGGCTCTGAAATGTACTTATTACATGGTTTTCAGCAAGTCACCTGGTGCCTGAGACAGTAATTCTTATTCATCCATGCTGGTCCTGTCAATTTAAGTGCAGATTTTAGTGAATTAAAATTGCAGAACTGAGCCCTTAGTTGCTTTGTCTCATTGACTTAAGTTAATAGCTTAATTAGGAAGATGGATTCAGGAGTTAATTATCCAGCTTGCGGTTGTGAATGTAAGGCTATGTTGTGTCAGAGGTAAATAATAGTAAGAGTTGTGCTCTAAAGTGAGTATTAATTTCAGAAATGCACTCTGGTGCATTTCTGGCTCTGTTTCAAAAGGGAGGGGTTGATGGTGGCTCGTCTCTTCTGGAATTGAAATTCTCATGCCTCATTAGTGACAGAACATTTGATCATAGATAATTCTTCCCTTACATCTATGCTGGAGTCATTACAACGTGTATTCACACACCTGAGTAAGCTTTGGGCTCGCGGGTAGGTGCATTCAGCAGTATGGAGCACAGGCTTCGTGCCCTGCAGAAGCTGTCTGACCCGACGAAGCGTTAGCGTGGAGCTACGTAGTTTGGCAGGCTCTTGAGCTGGCTGCTAGAGGGCTTCTTGGTGGTGCCAAGAAGAGCCCTTGTCTCCACAGAGCAGGGACACAGCTCCTTCTGTTGCAAGCGGTGGGTTGGTTTCCTCTTCATTCAGGTGCTCATAGCTAGTGTGAGGAGCATTCAGGGGTGGCCCTGCCCTTCTGATAAAGAGTGCGAAGGTCTGGAACAAGAATAATGCCCTTGTGTTTTCTTTGGGTTTTCCCAGTTGATATACAGGTTTTGCCTGTAATCTCTGCTCCTAAAAAGGGAGATGAATTCACCTCTAGGGAATAGAAGAGGTTTCCAAGGTCTTGCTGATCCTGATCTATAAGATCATAGATAAATTGGCTGTTAATCCTTACAAGTGAACTATAGGCAAATATAGTTTTTCTCAATCTTTGATTTTTAATATTTTATATAAAATAGCAGAGACACTAAATAGCCACTGGAATACTGCTTTGGGTCCCTGCTTTGGAAGTGGACCTGAAGCAATGTTGTGGCTTAGGTGGGTATTTTGGTCACTAACCTGTCCCAGGGCACAAGTATCTCACCCAAATTCAGCGTTCACAGTATGGGAGGGTGACTTACATCATCTAGGAGTCAACCATACTGCTCCCTAGGGCACTGTCTTCACCAAGCCACTAGCTGATCAACATGGACATCCAGTGGAACAAATTCCAAATTGGTAAGAAACTTTCAACAGAAGAATTGCTGCAAGTGCTGCCTGTTATGGTAGAATCTGGTCTGCCTGTTACCTTTCTTGAAATATCCAGCTCTGGATAAGACAAAACAAGGAGGTTTTGAGGTTCATCACACCTCCATTTGATCTGAAAATGTAGTGTGATGTAAGTCTTTTCTGTGTATAAGACAATCAGTCTCAGAAGTGAAAAGATAAGACAAGTGACTTATATCTTCCTTTACCTCCAAATTCCAATCTTACCTTTTTTTCCCCCCTTTTTGTTTCACAGTATATTCACTCAGCTGGAATCATCCACCGGGTGAGTTCACTCATTACGATAATAAAAATGAATGGAGCGTGTCCCCCTATGCCTCAAATGGGTTACTAAGGCATAGTTATAATATACTTTAGAAGGTTAAAATCACACTTGACTAACTCTGTTCTGCTACAGGACCTGAAGCCCAGTAACCTAGCCGTAAATGAAGACTGTGAATTGAGGGTAGGTATCATGCTGTTGTAATGAAGAATGTTGTAAAAGCTGTCAAGATGACAGTTTTCTGAGAAAACTTTAGCTGCCATTTTTATTTCTGATTCCATTAATTTCAACTGTTTGCTACTGTTGCTCGCCTGTCATAGAAAACCCATTTCCTTGAACACGTGTTTTTTCCTAAATGTTAATTTAGTGTAAACACAAGTATCTTTGCAAAATGTTCATCCCTAGTTCCTCACAGATGGTATGTAGGCTAGTAATTTGGCCCATGAGAGAGTACTTAACTGAGTATATCTTGAAAGTTTGACCTGTGATATGTATCTGCATCTGACATGTTTAAATGAAGCCTTGTAATAACTTTCATTTTTATATCTATAGAATATGCAAGCTAAATTAAATAATTATATGAAAAAAATACCAGTATTACCAGTTATGTTACCAGTTACGGGCAGTAAAAAAAAAAAACACAAACAAAACAAACAAACAAAAAGCCAACCAACCAAACAAAAAACCCCAAGAACCCTGTAATCCACACTTCTCAAATGCTATTTTAATGCACACGTCTATATAAATACATATCTTTGTGTATCCATGTGATACGTTATTGCATAATAAGCATGAGATTCTGGAGAAGGCAAAGATGTCTTCTAGCTTTCTAAGCCTTTAAGCTGAAGAATGAGAAGTTTAGCGTTTCTCCGTGACAGCCAGAAACATCTTTTTCCCTGTGACTGGGACTCTGATGTAATCATTTTACTCCAGCTGCGAGGGATTTAAGAAAAGATTCCAAATCATACAAGATCAGCAAAAAATCACAATAGTGAATAAGAGCAGTGCAGTTACGTTCTCCCACTAATCTGGACCTGTGGTGAGAAACTGTAGTTCCTGTTTGGTTTAGTGACACTTGCAGATGCTCAGCAAGTTTCATGATTATCCCTTTAATGTCTTTGTGGATGTATGTTCAGCATCTGTGAAATTTTATGGGTCATCTGGGTCTGATCATGCACTCTGAAATGTGTGCTGTGTTTTTGTACTGTAAGTAAAGGAGACTCCTCATCTTTTTTTCTATTATTATGGTATCTGTGCACCTCCCTGCCTGGCATTTGTTACACTGCTCTTTGCTTTGCTTATATTTATAGTTTTACTTCCTCTGATGCTAAATTATTTTCTAATAGAACAAACTAGTGGATATTTCCAGGTACAAACAAAAAGAAAATAGAAGCAAAACGAAGGAAAACTTGTGTGTACATGTTTGATAGAAGAGATCACCTATTAAAGAAAAATACTGCCGAAACCCTTATAAAAATAAGGGCATTAGTGTTTGAGTTTCATGCTATTATTCAGGCCTTGTTTGCCTCATGCTTTTATTTTTGCTTTTTTAAGAAATAAATAATGCTTTTAAAGCATATTAGAAGTAAAGATGTTAATGTGTTATTTATATTTTAATATTTTTCTTTAGGGTTTTTGTATCTTTAAATTGGATTATAAATGAGGAATTTTGAATGATACTCTTTAAATTTTCTTACTCCCGATGAAAAGGATTAGCATCAGCTTAATGAGTAATCCTGGATCTCATCATGGGAGGTTGCCACTGGTCTTAATTCACATTTCTATTTGAAGAGATGCTAACTAGCTCAGATGACTGACGTAATGAACAGTGCTGAGGCTCAGATGGTACACTTTTCACAACAGTCTCTCTTAAAGTTAGGGATACCTTTTAGCTCCACAATTAGTGGGACACAGACTAATCAAAAAATAGTAAGCAAAGAAATGAGCAGGAAAAATTTAATTGAAATAACTTCCTGTCAATGTAAACTTAGCAAGGGAGAGCATATGGAGGGGAACATTTTGCCATCAAGCCTATGAGTAATACATGTACCTACACAGAGCTCCTTTGTTGTTTCGGTGGGGGAGTTCTGCCGAGAACAGATGGTATGTGATTTAAACCTACCTTGTTGTGCAGGATATATGTTTCTCTCCTAGTGGCATCGGAATGATGCGTGATTTGGGTAAATGCTTAGATAGACATGAGAGGGAAACTACAGAAATTCTGCAGATTTGGGATCAGCTCGTGTGATGTTTAAATGGCCAGTGGCACTTGCTGTTGGCATTTTACAGAAACATTCCCAGTTGAAAATGTTTCTTTTTTTTATATAGCAACAGCGCTTATTTTTAGCAAATGAATGTCAGTGAACTTGAGGAAAAAGTAAAGTTTGCCGTAGAGGACAAAGGGCCAGGCACAGCGCAGCAGGAGCGTCTTTTTGCCGGGGTACAGCAGGGAGAGCAGATGAGCTCGTCCGCACGGCGTTGCTGTTTTACTTCACCGATGGTCAGGGACTATGGGTAAACTCAGAAATGAGTAATGGGGAAAATCGGTACCTATGACAAAGCGAAAAGGGATGTTTTAAATTATTATTTATTTTATTTTATTTTATTTTTATTCTGTAGATTTTAGACTTTGGTTTAGCTCGACAAACTGATGATGAAATGACCGGATATGTTGCAACAAGATGGTACAGAGCTCCAGAAATTATGTTAAACTGGATGCACTACAATCAAACAGGTAAACTGTGAAGATGTGTTTTGGTACAGCTGGATATAGTGGCAGTTTTAAACCAAGAGGCAACTCTGATTAAGGATCTCTTCAACTTATCATACCCATTTCTCTGGTTTTTGGCAGTTGACATCTGGTCGGTTGGATGCATCATGGCAGAGCTATTGAAAGGGAAGGCCTTATTTCCAGGAAATGATTGTATCCTTAACATAAAACATAAAATGCAGCTATAAAAATACTCTCTAATTCTTCCTTTTTTTTTCTAATGACTTGAGTGTTTCTATGGAAATATTTCTGAGGTAAAAAACTTCCAAAACAGTAAAATATTTTTGCTAATCATTCAGTTTAGTGTATGTGACAGCTGAATATGAGACCCACTGGTAGGAAAAAAAACAGTAACAGATGTTTCTAAACAACAGTAAGTTACATTTATTCTTTGTTGTGTATCTGTATTTAAATAATAACCTATTTAGAACAGAGCAGATTTCTTCCATGTGTGTATCTTACTGAAATAACATACATTAGAACTGAAGCTGAGTAAAGGAAATAATTTTTGATCAGCTAATATAATTTTTAAAATAGAACTGCTTTTAAGATGGAAGTTCCTAAAATGCAAAAAAAATAACTTTTTAATAATAAATGAGTTAATAGGCATGTTGTGTCCTGTTATAAAAAAAAGGCAGCAGTTCCAGAAATGCCGCAGGAGCAACAAAACCTTCTTTTTCTTCAGTGCTGTGCTGTGGTCCCTGCTGGAGAGTCAGGGATTTCCATTGGCATTTCCTGCACTGGCAAGAGGAAAAAAAAGAGTAAAATAATAAAAGAAAACTGAAGAAAAACAGATAATGAGGAATGAGGAAACAACTGCAGCAGAGGAGGAGAGCTTTTAATGTGAGAAACAAAGGCATATTCTTCTGTACTGAATATTGACATTTCTCGCTACTCTGAAAGCCCTCAAAAAGCAAACGCTTCTGCTAAAACTAAGCCATTGCCAGGTGCAAAACAACATGACATTAGAATCGCCTGCAAAACTCTGAAGAAAGCTGAGAGACCAAGCCTCTCCACTGACCTTTCTGTTATGCTCAGCATCATTAGGCTCTATTTTAACCACAGGCGTTGTCCAGATGTTCATCATCTGGGTGACGACTGTGCTTCAGGCTGTTTGATTACATGATATGTGGTATTTGGAAAAAACAGGACACCAAGTTTTCAAGAAATAAGATATTTTTTGCTGTTATAAAATATTGTCTACAATTATGTGATAACATCAATTTAAAGCAAGCTGTAAAATAATCTTGAGTCTCTAGGGAAAATGTAATATATCCTCAACAGGTCATATATGACAATGAAAAATGAACATTTTCAAAGTTTTTAATCTTGAGACTGATATAACACAGATTTTTAAAGCTACCAAATGAGAATTTTCCACTTACCAGCCCCCAGATTGGTAATCTAGCCCTATGTACTGTATCGTATTAAACTATTCTTCAAAAATCCCTCCAATCACTGAAACATAAATGTGCTATTAAAATTCGGTTTAAGAATAAGTTAAATTGGGAACTAGGACAGGAAAGCAATATTTTTCATGCATATTTCCCACATACAGGCACACCTGACAGATTCATATAGTACAATAGAGAATTTGATACTGCAGGAGCAGGCTTAAGGACGTATGAATTGGTAACCCTCCATAGACTATGGTGGAATTGTCTTGCTGAATAGTTTCAAACCTCTTAACAATCTGCGTGAAAGCTCATTAATTGTTTAAACCCAGAAGGACTGTTTGCTGTTTATTTCCCTGAAATAATGCAGATATCGATCAACTAAAGAGAATTATGGAAGTTGTGGGCACACCCAGTTCTGAACTTCTGAAGAAGATATCGTCAGAACATGTGAGTTCACAGCTTCGTTCGGTTAACTGACTTTCTGTCATTCTAATTGGCATCGTATGTCACTGGCTGTGTTACACAGATACTCTGATTTGGAAATGGGCGAACACTTCAAAGTTATCTCTGATTTTTGCTGCTAGAATAACATCATTCAAAAAATGTTCTTTTTAGGGGTATCCAAATGCCTTGACTGTCAGCTGGATTAATTTTGATACTTGTTGTCATGTACTCAGTTTTTGAAAGGAGTTTTGCAATTGGTCCTGATGATCTTCTATTTTGCTGCTATACTTAAAATAAAAAATTCAAACTGGTGCTCAGCTCAGAGCATTACATTGCTGTTATTAAATCTGATGTCTCTGTAATTTTTATGCTTTCTGTTGTTGTAAGGGATTTAAACAGAGATATCAGAATCAAATAATGTGTGTTCTGCATGAGTGCTCTTATTAAGATCCTTAATTTGAAGTTCGTATTTTTTCATCTCTGCTTGTGTGAGGTCCATTTTTGTGATAATATCTGTAGTTAACAGTGCGATTTTTAACTCTCCATATGACTTCTTTAAAATAGTAATATAGTAAAAGAACAATTTCCACTTTGTTTCTCTGCTAAAGCTACACTTAAATGATTCACTTTAAGCAATAACTGTGAATATCCAGCTGAGGGAGGAGATGTGGTATTGATTGATAGAGGCAGGTGATAGGCACAGTGTAAAAATTCAGATAAACAGCACACATACCTCCTGAGCTGAAGCTGTTTTCGTAAAACTTTTTTGTATATACCTCAGACTAATACTATCGGCTATTTTTCAGCTTGTAAGTTTATTGATAGGTTTTCTCTGAACTTACTAATGAATACACTAGTGGGAACTAAGCAGGAGCAGTAGGAGAGCCAGAGCAACGCTGTATTTTTGGGAAGTCCAAGCATAATGAAACCTCATCAGCGCAGGCCAACGGACAGCCCCAGAGTTCGTGCGTACCCAGCACCTGGGAATGGCTGGGGGAGGAGGAGGATCCATCCTTGTGCCGGGGACTGGATCACCCAGCAAATCTCAGACTGTGCTGTCCTAAGCATAGGTCCGTGTATAGCCATAAAGGTGTTATGAAGATCCTACAGTTTTCGCAGTAATGTGTTCAGAGTAGAGTATGAAAATGTGTGATTTACCCACAACTAGTCAGTTTGTGAGCTTTTTGATTGTGAGATTAAGCACCTTAAATATTTACTGGAGATAGCATCTGCTTTTGTCTTTAATTTCTTGTGTTTCAGAGCATACCTTAGTGAGCTACAGGAATCCTGGAACTGTTTTACTGTGGCTAATTATACCTTTAGAGCATAGGGAGAACACAAAAAACAAGTTAATGAGTGGGAGGGCTGCTAGGTCACCTCTGGGCTGCTGCTGCCTGGTTGGAGGAGCAATGTCAAAGGAGATGAGTACCTTGCTTGGAGGTACTTGCCTCTTGTAAAGGAGCGTCTATTCTATTCTATTCCTTCATTCTTGTTCTTCTTTACCTTGTAGTTTGGCTTTATTGTTTACATATTTCTTAATGCAGGTTGGAGTCCCAGACAATTTTTTCAGTTCCTCTAACAGCAAGATCAGAGGCTTTCTGAAATGCCAAGCCTATTTTCAGTTAAAAGTAGAGGATTAAAGAATTGGAAATGAAAAGATCAGCCTCAGGAGATGTTTCAGCACAACTTACTGAGCTGTTTTGTCAGTCTTCCATGTTAATATGGGTTTAAATGGTGATTGCATTTCATTATTTTTAGAATAATTTAAATGTCTGGATTCTATTGGTTGGGTTTCTGTGGTGACTATATAAGCAGAAGGGACAGGTTGGTAAATATGCTTTGATAGGTCTGTATTGTTTTCAAAGGACTTCTGGACAAGTTTTGAAATAATTTTGACTGTGTTTTTTTCAGTCATATTTGGATTAGCGATGTTAATTGATGTCCGTACAGAAATAAATAATCCACAGATGTTTGTCATAAGATAAATTTACCTCTTGTTTCTGCCCTAGCCCACAGCTTCCATGCAAGAATGTGTGACAGCTCTCTTTTGCTCTGCTGTTCATATATACATATATGTGTAAACCAATGCCCTGGAAGACTTAACTCTGATAGGAGCTGCACACCCTGAGCAGCCTAGCAGGTGTTTGCTGCCTTTATGAACTTTAAGGGCATAAAACAGGTGGAGTGAAGCCTGTGTCTGGCTGGTCTTCAGACATTGTTCTCTGCATGACTGGCTACAGCTGCTAAGAAGTCATCCTTTTGGAAAGCCTTGCTGTTGGCCCCCATAATAAAAAGGGAAAATGCTAATATAGTTTGAACAGGTTGGGAACATAACCCATGAAGGCTTGCTTCTTTTAGTAAGACTCTGAAATGTGTCAACAATGGTAGTCTAGGATTTTGATAGAATATGCTTACCTGTTACAAGAAGCAGAAAAAATAAATAGATCTGCCTCATTAAATTAGAACACAGTTTGAAAAAACACTGTGCTATGTAATGATCTAAAATATCTTTATATCAGTTCATCCTAGCTCCAGAAATTAAGATGATGGCAGAGAGAACAGTCTATGGGACAGGATCTGTTTCCCAAGTGTGGTTGTAGGATTGCACAGATGATATGTCAGAGTGTTTTACAGTCACTTCACGATAGTCCACAAGAGTTCCACAGGTCTCAATCTGACATCTCACTTGAAGCTGTGGATCTGCTTGGTATGAACAACTTTATTTCCTTTGCCATCTACAGTAGGCCAAGGATGCTTAGTTAGCCTAGTGCAGATAGTCTCCTTCTAACAGGGTTGCTAAGCATGCGGGGAGACATCTCTGTAACATGTCTTAAAAGGATTAAGGTTTTTTTCAAAGACCAGCTGGGTTTTTTACAGATTTGGGGACAGCAATTTGCCTCTTTTTTAACAGTTCCATTTCAGAATTCCCTGTTCTGTCTGACGCCAGCCCTTAGGACCAGCATTCAACCTCTTCTCTTGCTGATCTATCTACCTCAGGCCAGAAATCCATAGCTCATGTAATGTCTGGCTCCCCGCTGACATTTGTGGGTCTGATCTGTGGGTAGGCTTTTCCTAGCTGAGTTTGGATGAGCCTTTCACAGCCACAGCGACAAGGCAAGCTATACATTCTGATAAACATCTGAAGATCTACGCCCTGCGAGTATCGGGATTTGTTCTTTGGTTGGTGAAGCTACTGTCTGACAAAGGAGGGAGAGGAGGGAAGGACAGAGATTGGATAATACCACTTTGCTGAGGATAACTGAAAGATGATTTAGATCCCTAATTTCTGGTTGAACTTGACACGCATGTGTTCCCTGGGGATATATGGCAGTGGACCAGTAAGTGTAGGCAAAAACGTAAGTGCTAACACATAGCCCTTAGAGGAAAATATACCTGTTTAAAACTCTCTTGCTTATTGTGCAATATACAGGAGTGACTGTTTAAAACAAAGTCATACGTTATGGTTTTATGTAAAGAAGGTTTCCCGTGTGTTAGAAACATAAAAAATATTACATCTGTTTTTTTAGAGTTGATATGGTTACTGTTGGGCAAAATTTAACCTCTGTGCATGTGGTATGTATGTTGATTTATCCCTAGGCAAGAAAATACATTGAATCTCTTCCACATATGCCTCAACAGGATTTGAAAGCAGTATTTCGGGGTGCCAATCCATTAGGTAAGAAAGTCAGACTGATATAGGTTCAATCTTTCACTAACATGGGAACTCAAGCCGTCCTTTGCTATATGATCCTGTGTAATAGTGATCAGACCAGTGAGAAGAGCATTGCTTAACCTTTCGCCCTGAGACTGTTCTCCCCTCGTGAAGCCTGTGTCTTTTGTTTCTGGTGGAGATTATGAGAACCTCCTAAAGGAAAACAGTCTGTGGATGAAAAGCAAAAGCCAGCTATCTATAGCAAGAATAAATAAAAATGTCATGGGGTCTAGACTAGAGACATCACTTCTGGCTCAGGAAGGCCATGAGCTGTAAATTGCTGGCAAGCAGAAGAACATACCAGGAAGTATAGCTGTTTGAATGACCCTTTTGAGTATTATTTCCTAGGAATGTATTGGCCATTGTTGGACACAGGATACCGGGCTACACAGACCTTTGGTCTGATCCTGCACAATTGTTTTTATGTCTAACCAATTGGTTCTGCCTGTGCAAAAGAGATGTTTCTAGGAACCATTTCTTGTGACATGGCAAAGGAGACGTTTGAGTCACAGGAGTCATCTTACTACAATGCCTGGTCAGTTCCATCGAGTGCACATTAAAACATTGTATATGGGGAGGTGTCACGAGTTAAAACGTTTTGAATTCATTGTGTGTATTAAAAGACAGTTTTATTTTTATAAATACAAGTAGCTGTGAATGCTTTCTCACAAAAAATGGGATTTATTTGCATGAAGTACAGGAGAGCAAGCTACATATTAATATCATAAAGACAAATTAATGACACTAAAGCACTAAAAATAATTTTTATATAATATTTTAAATAGTTATGATAAACTTTCCATATAAAACCAATTTCTGCCTTACCGATCTCTCTCATTCCTAATATTCTGCAACTGTCAACTTCAAACATATTTTCTTTATGCTGGGTCCTGTAAAGTTGCTTTGGGGGTTTCATCTGATGATTTCATTGGTGCAGCTAATTAAAAGCATAATTTCACATTCACGATTTTAAGTTACTTTAGTTTGCACTGATCAGGACCAAATTAAGCACGCGGTGCACAACACAGTATTTAACTTTTAAGCACACAAAGATCTTTTCAGAACGAAGGCCTTGGATGGTCTGAAGAGGTGAATCAGGTATCAGATAGACTATAATGAACTTTTGTGCATACCACAGGCAAAACAAAAGCTTCCTTCAGCTCTGAAAGTTGTACCCACAGTACAAAATCTTCCAAGCTTATTTCTTATATTGCCTAAATTTTGTGGGTTTGCCAATAATGTTAACTGTGGTTAAGGTGAGTGAGAATAGATTGTGTGTAAATAGTTGCCTTATCTTTTATTTTTACATGTTCTCTTCTGGCTTTGAACCACATTTCTCTTTTTCCCTTAGCTGTAGATCTTCTTGAGAAGATGCTTATATTAGACAGCGATAAAAGAATTACTGCTTCAGAAGCACTTGCACATCCATACTTTGTACAGTATCACGATCCGGATGATGAACCTGAGGCTGAGCTGTACGATGAGTCAATAGAGAATAAGGAGCGAACCATAGATGAATGGAAAGGTAACAGAATTGCACACAGTAGTTAATACATTCAGCAGAACAAAACCTTACTTAACAGTTTTCCCCTGTTTCTAACCAGAGCAACTTGAACTCTTAAGACTCAGGGAAACAAGATAAGTCCATGTATGTGCTTGTGGGAGTGGAGATGTAGGAAGGGTTGGTTTTCCTCCCTGGATTTCGCTCCCTTCCCCAATCCTATCATCTCCTCACTAGATTCCCTAGAGCAAGTTTCATCTTAACTAAAACCTGATGCTAGTTATCAGGTAACCACACATTCTGTCTTGCTTTTAGTTTTCCAGGTCAGATCCTCAGCTGAAGTAGCTGTCCTAGGGCAAATGATGCTATCTGGGATTCTGGTCTAGCTTTCTTCAGAATCAAAAATTAGTGTTTTCCACATAGATGTGTATTTTCTTAATCATTCTGTAGATAGCCATTAATAGATAAACCAGATAGCCATTAATAGATAAACCATGCTATTAAACCTGTCTGAGATGAGAGTTGATGATTTTACTTTGGATTGACACCTCAAAACCCATTCTTGAGAAATACTGCAACAATCTTTTTTTTATTAGTTAATTCCATGCTTGCATCATGATCACATTGCACTACGGTATCACGGAAGTAATATGGCTAAACATTTCGGTTGCAAAGTACAGTTCAATTTCATCATTGTCTAATTAGGACATATGCTAAAAATTCCTTACGATATATTTTTAAATTTAGAGTAATGTTCTAGAAAGCTAATTGTTCCTCTTCATCAATAAAGTCCTTTCTGGCTTAAGAAGAAATATGTATTCTAAAAAATAAATGTTCATCTGTTTCTATTTGGATATTCTGTAACTTTTACTCCAGAAAGGTTTGATAAAAATATATTGGCATAGTGGGTAAGCTTATGATGAAAAATACTGTCCTCCCATGTCTTACTCATGTCCTTGCATCTGTGCCATGTTTATCCCGAGCATTGCAGGGGAGACAAGCAGACTGACTACAGCAAATACATCTTAAAGAAAGATAGGAGCAGGGTCATGGGTCTTTCTACAATAAAGCAGCCTCCTAGAGCTCTGAAAAGGGTTTTCTAGAAGCCTACTGCCTCCATACAAACAAGGAGGATTGACTAGTATCACTTATTCCTTATGCATGCTCTCCTCCGCAAAACCTGGCAGCACACAGCACCACCCATACATCTTGTTTACTGAGAAGGATGTTCAATTTGCTGCTGTACTTACCAGTGGATGATTTGTTTTCTGCTAAATAAAAGTTTCTAAAGACTGGGTCTTTAACAGGAAAGTTTAACAATTTCCGAGTCATGAAGCTGATTTCTGTTTGTGTTGAAACTCTGTTGAAATTATTTCAGGAACAATCTTAGCTTAACACTTTCTGACCTGAAATGAGGACATGGAGGTGAATTCTCTAGGAACAACAGTGTCATATTTTTCTACATCACTGTCCTTGCTGGAACTACAGGTCAAATTCCTTCTTTATGCGGGGGGGG